AAAAACTGCTTTTGCTTCAAGGTGTTTTAGAGTTTTCAATTAAACAAAAAAATTTTAGAAAAGGAGAAAGGGCTTGTCTTTGAAGGAACAAAGATTAATCTTAGAAGAATATTCTTGCTCAACGGGACTTGATTTTGATTGTATTTAAAGATTGCCCTTTGATTTCATTTTCTTATTATTTATCATGTTCCCTTTACAAATCCTTTTTGGTTAAGTATCTAGAGAAAGTGGAGAAGATGAGCACTGAGGGAAGGAAGATGAAAATTTGATAAAGGAGAAAAAATGGTGCAGCCTTTTTTACCACAAACTTTCTTCTTTAAGAAATGGGCCTTGAGTTGTGGGTATTAAAGATATTGTGCACAATTTGCTGTTTTAGGCATAGTTTCATTTAAAAAAAAAAAGAAAAATAATAATAAATAGGAGGCAGAGGACTGCTTTGGAAGTTGGTGCAGTGTTGTTGGATTAGATATGTCATATGTCATATATCATATCTGAATTGGATCTTCAGAATTTCTTGAAATAATAAATAAAGTTATCTGCAGATTTTGCTGTAAATTTTGATGAAATTTATGTTATTAAAAATTGATTGTTGATAAAGACTCTAAAACGAGAATAGTTGAGTTCCGCTTATTAACTAAACGAGCTCGAGCTCGACTCGTAACTAGAAAGAATTGAGTTCGAACTTTAACGAGTCAGTCTAGCTCGATGCATTAATTAAGCAAGTTCATAGCTCGTAATCTTAATCAGCCAAATTATTGATAATAACATTAAACTTCCTAATCTATTTTTGAACTCATTTTACAGCTATAATTAATTAGTGAGAAGCTTGATGGAAGATTATGAACCAAAAATCATCTAAGAGAGAGTACTTGTAATATATATAACCAGAATGTTTTTTTTTTTTAATGGGCTAAAGTCATTCAACTATGAAATGAAGACGAATGCAACACGCAACTAACTAATAATTGTTTTGGCAATGTAAATGCAAGCAAATTTTATTTATCCTATGCTTTAAAAATTATTTAAGAAAACAGGTTAGTCTCTCTACTAGTGGTTCTCCGTTAATGGCGCTTTAGAGCATTCTTTACTCTCTTATTTTTTTTCTTCTTTTTTTCTCTCAATTTTTGATTAGTCAGATGATACAAAATATGAATTCTTTTTAATTTATATTTTTTTCTTCAAATAACCCATTGATCAACTCCATGAAAATTATATTGGGAAACATTTTTTTTTGTATAGCATTTAACTATTCAATTAATTCCAAAAGAATAATATAAAAAAATTAAAGGAGCAATTATACATACAGATCTTGAAGAAGAATAAATATAGACCGGATGATTGAAGAATATATGAGATTCAAGATTGATAAGCATAAAATGGGGAAAGTGATTGGAAAACTCTGGAGGAATATATTATTGTTCTATGTTGTAATAAGAATCGCATGTAGAAAGAAAAAATATATTGTGGGAATTCTTAAATAAAAGGATATGTTTGATGTTATAAATGTAATGTTCAAATTTATTGTGGGAAAGTTCGGTTTTTAGATGTGAGAATGAAACTCAAAGTTTCATTACTTTTTTTAATGAAGGCATAAGATAGCTCCTCTTCATTGAATGGAAGCTAGTCTTACAAGCACTATAAATAGTGCATGCAAACTTATGGGACGAATACATCAAATGAAGGAAAATAAAGGAACATATACATATATTCTCTTACATTCTCCAAAGACTTAGAAAAAATTAACTGCGTTTGGCAACTGAGATTTAATTTGATTGAGGTGAGTGTGTTAGATAGTGTAATCTTCACACTTTGAGTCGTCTTATCCTGAGAGAAAAGGCGTAGTACTTGTTGCACAGTATCGGCGTGTCTGTTTCTTCAAGGCAAACAGATTTTTCTGTGATTCGGCAATTTGTATTCTATTACAATATAGAACTGTCAGTTAAATTGTTGTTTTTAATTTATAGTAAATTTATTTATTTACTAATAAAAATCTGGTTTAATCTCACGTTCCTGTGGTTGATGTTTGTGGTTTTTATTTACAATTTTTTCTTAATGCGTATATGTATTGAAACTCGTTTTTAATTTGTCATTTTATCATTATTTAATTCTACAACATATTATATAGTTCCTCCATAATTTAACTTAATTCCCATCTACGTTATATATAGAGAAATAGATAAATTGGCGTTACTTTGTTTATAAGCTTGTCAAATTGTAAAAACTATTGAATCTTTTTTTATTTCTTTTGGTACACATGTACACTTTTAAATTAAAATGTCAGTAAAAAGTTAATAAGTATTACATTAGCATAAGGATGTATATTTATTACAAGACAAAATTGCCCTTAATATCAGGACCTTTTTTGAAATTGCAATTTAATCACGACTTTTTCACTTTTGCAAATTATATCATAATGTTCAGTTTGTTGCAAATTGGTGCACCGATTTACATATCCCGTGCAAACTATATAACAATCTTCAGTTTGTTGTTCGACCACATCAGCTTTTCTATGACTATTTTCAGACTGTTTGCAACAAATTAAAGATTGTGATATAATTTGCAAAAGTGAAAATGTCATGATTAAATTGCAACTTCGATAAAGGTCGTGATATTAGGGACAAATTTGCCTTATTACGAAGACACGACGAGGCGTCTTGCCTAACAAGTTGATCTATTTTTAAAATTGCGAGACTACCATGTTATTTAATTTGATTTAATTTCATTATAACTACTTTTACACAATTCATAATTATGGGATATTTTTACATTTCACCTATAGTGATGTATGCCACAGTGCTAAGTAACTAATTAACATCATAAGGAGCATGTTTTCGGAAGGAATATAGTTTTAATATAATCTTCGATTAAATATCATTCGAATTTACATAACATCATGTTATGGTTCTCGATGAAACTTTTTATGTAAAAATGAGGTTCGAATATTGACGTGTGTCTTTTTGAATCATGCAACCCGAATTAGATGCCCACGAATACATGTGATATGTTGATGATCATTTGACGAACAAAATCTCATTCCCCTTCGAAAATAATAACATATTGCAACTATTATGTACTGCTAATTGATTATGTGTATTCATAAAAAATATTTCGAAACACACACAATTTTCAAGGAGGATTGAATTTCTCAGTTCCCACATACTTTTAATATCAAACAAAATTTGTCTTCGAAGTTCGTCGAAAATTAAATGTCTCTAACACGAACGGAAATTAATCATAATTTTGATAGGAAAACAAAGATGCCACATAGATTTTTCTTTCGTGCATGTGTTCGCCTTGCAACCCTTTATTAGAAAAATTATGGATAAAATTCTAAATATACTGTTTTTATATTTTGTTTGGGCTTTGATATTTTTTTTTTTTTTGGTCTTTGACTTGTAACTCGAATTATGTGCTTATGATTCCAAATTAATACCTGCAATTTCAAAAACAACACACCATAGAATTTTGTAGAACCGCAAAGTCTATGTAAGAAACTGGGGAAAAATGGGTGCGGGCCCACTGTCATGAAACACATCATGGGAAAATGGAAAAAACTCATATGAAGCCCCAGTGGGTTCCATCCCAAAACCAATTGGTGGAAGGAGGAGTAGTCCATTAAACTTATAAGGTGGGTCTATTTTTTATGTATGGATGATGTGGGACAATTCACAAATGATATTCTAGCACGCCCCCTCACTTATGAGTTCTTCGAAAGCCCAAGCCCAAATGGGCTGGGTGCCCAAGCCCTACTAGAAATAGGCTCCCATAAACGGGTACGTCATCGCATGGTAGAACTGGTTCTGATATCATGTAAGAAACTGGGGAAAACGGGTGCGGGTCCACTATCATGAAGCGCACCATGGGAAAACGGGAAAAGCCTAAATGAGGTTCCATCACAAAACCAATTGGTAGAAGGAGGAGTAGCCCATTAATCTTATAAAGTGGGTCTACTTTCCAAGTGATATTCTAACACGCGCCCTCACTTGTGAGTCCTTCGAAAGCCCAAGCCCCCTTCGAAAGCCCAAGCCCAACTGACTGAGAAAAACGGATACGTCATCGCACGGTCCCACATAGAACCGGCTCTGATACAATGACAGAAACTGGGGAGAAATTGGTGTGGGCCCACTATCATGAAGTGTACCATGAAAGGGGAAAAACCTAAATGAGGTTTCATCCCAAAACTAATTGGTAGAAGGAGGAGTAACTCATTAAACTTATAAGGTGAATCTATTTTCTATGTATGAATGATGTGGGACAACTCACAAATGATATTCTAAGAGTCTGGACAGAAAAAAATGACAATCAATAAAATAAAACTACAAGTCTGAAGTTAATGGCTGGGAAAAAGTATTACCGATAAATGAAGTTCATGAAAAGTCATGGTTTCCTTTTTTTTTTTTCTTTTCCTTCNNTGGTTCAAATGAGAACCAAGTCCTAGCGTGAGAACCGTGAGAACTGCTATTTTTAATTGTATGTAGTGCTATGATTGATTGTATTTAGTGCTATTTTTAATCAGGATGTATTTTATTAAAAATAGCAACTTAGCATTTGTAAAAATGATAGCACCATGTATGATTAAAAATAACATCATACACAATTAAAAATAGCATCAAATATGATTCTCACGGTTCTCACACCAGAAGAAGTTTTTATTTGAACCACTCCCTATATATATATATATATATATTTGAGCAGTTTTGTCAAATTTAATCATTATGCCACAATTATGCATATTTTTATTTAATATTGTCATATTTTAAAAAATAATATAAATAAAAGTATGATATTTAATAATAAAAGTGAAATTTTTTCAGTATGATGGATTGATCTGGTTGACGAATATTATTATCGTCTCATACAATAATTTGTGTTTTGAGACTGAAGATATTTTTCAATATTGGTGTTAGTTTTGACATTTCTTTATTTATTTTTTCTTAATTTATTTAATTTCCTCTTCTAATTATTAGGCTATTTATCCTTATTTCTCCACCTTCACACTTCCCAACCTCTTTGATGAGCTTTGTTCCAGAATCAGCCTTATCCTTTCCCATAATGGCACCCCCCTTTACTCATAGCTAAAAATTCATTTACTTATTTCATAACTAATGATCAATATATAAAACAATGATGAAGTAGCAATTTAATCTTTTGCCAGAAGAATGTAATAATAATAGAAACTGAACTGAAAATTAATAATCTTAAATCCTTCAGTTCCTTGTATTCTTTTTCATTTTCTTATGTGAAAAACATATATAATCATAATGTTACATATGAACAGATAGGATAGAGATAATCAACATATATGACATGACAAAGATATATGATAAATATTAAATTCTTGTACGAGACAACCACCCGTTAAGCGAGTCGACCTGTCATATTTTCTTAACAAAAGTGCATATTTATAATAGGAAAGAATGTCATGAAATGGTGTGGACATTGAAATTTTGTATATTAAAAGAAAAAAAGTGTAAAAATAATTTTGTATTTAACAGCTTATTCGAATTTAACTTAGCCATCAGATCACATATATTTGTACGGTTGTGTATTTATTATTTATTCGACGGCTAAAACCATGGATTTATTTAAAATAAGAAAAATATGTATTAATTTGTATATACGTGCACAAAAATGGAATTTCTCTAATATCCAATGTCACAAAATAAAACCGTTAATGGGTCCCGCACTTGCCGTTAGCAGTTGCTCTTCCATTGTTTAATCTTCCCTTACATTTGGTCTAACAAAATCTTTCAACTGTTTTTCTTATTTTTCCAAAAAATAAAAAATAAAAAATTATATATATATATATATATATATATNAAGATGAATAAATAGTGTGGAAATGTCGAATCTATACGGTGGGGATTTCAATCAAAAGATCGATTACATGTTTAAGGTCGTTTTAATCGGAGACTCGGCTGTCGGAAAATCCCAGTTGGTCTCTCGGTTTGCGCGTAACGAATTCAGCTTGGAATCTAAGGCCACGATTGGAGTCGAATTTCAAACCAAAACTCTCGTTATTGATCACAAAACGGTCAAGGCACAAATTTGGGATACGGCAAGACAAGAAAGGTTAAAACTAATTATTTTGTCCAAATTTTGTTAGTTGCAATAGGCACATGGTACATATTTGCAATAGGCATATGGTCATGCTATGCACATTGTACATTTTAGTTTGTTTTTCAAGAATTGTCTTGTTTTCAATCACTATAGCGTGATTGTATATGAATTCAACCAGTTTTAGTTAATTAGTTGGTTAAAGTGAGTTATTTTGGATAACATTGATTTGTGGATGATTTTGAGTTTGTAATTAAATATGTGATGTAAAAGTAGGATTGGGATTATTCGAAGTGATAAGCAATTAAAATTATGTGAATCGATGATTAGTGAATTAAATTTGTTCTGAGGTGTGATGATCATGATTGGTTGGTATTATTTAATTATACTGATAATATTGATGATAATTGAGTTAGATTTGATTGTGAGTTTAGAAGATTGCTAACAAAATAATCCAATCAGTCAAAACCGATTAAAATCAAGTCTATCTCATGTCCAAACGCGCTATATATGACACACAAATTTGCTTCAAATTTGATTATAGATCTCGTTTCATGGTGATAATTTGATGTTTTCCTTCCGTCGTTAACGAGTAGGTACCGAGCCGTGACAAGCGCATACTACCGAGGCGCGGTTGGAGCTATGCTAGTCTACGACATGACCAAACGACAATCATTCGACCACATGGCACGGTGGCTCGAGGAACTCCGGGCCCACGCGGACAAGAACACGGCTATTATGCTTGTCGGTAACAAATGCGACTTGTGGACACTAAGGGCTGTTCCCACGGAGGATGCGCAAGAATTTGCCGAGTATGAGAATCTCTACTTTATGGAGACTTCTGCATTTCAGGCAACAAATGTTGAGAACGCGTTTTTCACCATTTTGACCGAGATATATAGAATCGTGAGCAAGAAGACTCTAGCCACAATCGAGGGCTCGAGCTATGCCAAGTCAGGATCTTTGAAAGGTACGAGGATTATTGTCCCGAGTTATGGTTCGGATAGTTCAAAGTCTGGTTGTTGCATGGGTTCGTGATTTTTTCTTTTTTTTTTTTTTTCTTTTTTTTTTTTTTTCTTTTTTTAATTTTTTTTTTATTACAAGATGTTGTAATTATCTTTCAGAATGGCTTGTACCACCAATTTATGTTTCAAATTTGATGTAGCAACTAGCAATTTATATGGTTCTTGAGTTTGAACATATATTAGCAAAGCTTCTTACATTTACGGGGTAAACTAGCTATATTGCTTGCTAGAGCATGAAAGAAAAATTATGACTTTTGTACTATTGTGTTGCTATCCATAACAAAACTTCGTAAGAAACTATCTCGAGATATCTATGAAAGATAGAAATAAGAATCAATGAGCAAATCATGTTTTATTAGACCCATAATTTTATCCAAAACTTAATGGATAAGACTTTGGAGACACGCCTCCTTAATTAGTAAAAATCAAAATATCAAGAAGGTGAGTGTTAAATAATAGACAAAATTAGTTCTCCAATGTATGGAAAAAAAGACTGTAAGAAAAATAAAATTGAATTGTTACTTTATATGGCGTTGAGATTCTTAATTATGATTTCAAATGATAAAAAATATGGAAATATTGATGGCACATGCCATTAATGTTTAAACCATACCACACCTCAACTCATTCCTATTCAATCAAATCATTTTAGCAAACAATTTGATTTCATCTTCTATTGTAAACATCAAATTTATAAGAAAAAAAGTAATGTACAAGCATTTGTTGTTGACTACGTACATTTAAAACTACAAAACAGAAGTAAGCTACCCGTGGGCCCAAGTTGCTCAATAAGATCAATAATAAGGCTCGAAAATATATTTTTTTATGTACTTTTTTATAACTCGGCGCGCTAAAGTTCAAACTCGACTCATTATTACTAGTTAGGCCTGTAAACGAGCTGAGTTGAGCTCGAACTCTTAATTGACTAAGTTCGGCTCGATTCAGCTTGTTAAATAAATAAGTCAAAAATCGAACTCGAGCTCGACTCATTTTCAATATTAACGAACGAACTTAGAGCCTTAACGAGCTGATCTCGTGATTTAACGAGTCGAACGATAAAAAAATTATATAAAATTTTTCTTTTCGAGTCTAGACAAGTTCGGATCGTTAAAGAAACGAGCTTTAAGCGAGCTCGAGCTCATTTAATAACTGAGCCGAGTCGAACTCGAGTTTTAACGAACGACTCATTTCATTTAATAACTTTTTTAGTACTTATAAATGAGTCAAACTCAAACTCACTCATCGAGTCGTTTAGTTAACGAACCGAGTTTTTTAGTCTCAATAAATGCTTGAAAATGTAAAATGTTATATAAATTTTTATAACTCAACGCGTTAAACACATGAACTCGACTCGTTAATATTGAAATTTCGAGCTCAGCTCATTCACATCGCTAACTAGTGAATAAAAAAGGGGGAAAAAAAAGAAAGAAAAAGGGAAAATGTGAATGGGGCAATATAGTAATTAATCATTTGAAACGTCTCCCTGGATCCCGCTTTGGAACGAATTTGAAATTTTGATAGCCAAATTTGTTACCACATTCACTTTTCATTTTCCGAAAGCCTTTTTTGGGTTTTAATTTTCCATTTTCAGCTTATAAAATGCCGCCCAAATTTCATTTCAAAAATTTGCCAATTCACCTCTCTCTCTCCCCACGGCCATTTTTGTTGCTCTCTCTCTCTATTTCTTTTGCCCAACACTTCTGGATTTTCACGCACACACACACACAGTAGACAAAGCCAACTCCATTGTTAAGAGCTTCGAGGGTCGCCATTGCTGCTGTTCATTTCCACGATTGAAGTTCGCTCACAATCATCCCCCAAAAGAATTACTCCCAAGGTCGGATGATTTTTTTTCTTGGTATTTTGAAGTTTATTTCGATTCATTATCACAGTTTTCAAGTTTTGTTTCTCTTTCTTCTTCTTTTTCATTATCGCGAGCTTGAGCGAAGGGTTTTTTTTTGTTTGTTTTTCAGTTAAGATTAGGTTTTTATTGAGGTGAAATGGGGCTAATTGGCTTCAGTACTGCGCGTATAGAACTGATCTGAGATAACAGTTGATTGATGTAGTTTTCAGATCGAATTGAATTCTGACGCGGACAATGTTTTTTGTGAAGATTTGTGACAGAATGCCGGAAGCAAGAGATAGGTTGTCGAGGCAAGAGGACGTTGTAGCCACTTACAGCAATCTAAGGAGGAGTTTTGGTAGGGGGAATATTGGGAGGGTTAATTCGGTAGCATTTGTTCTTGAAGATGATGGGGATGAAGGGCAAGCTACTGAAACTCCCTTTCGGTGGAGGGGTACAGCAATGGTGGGTACACCTGGAATGGCTTCAAGGAGGGGTAGTATTGGAACTCCAAGGATCGGGCGTGTGCCGTACTTGGGTCGACCATCTCCGCTGACCACCGGGCGAGAAAACGTGTCTCCTTTAGTGGGGACTGGCCGTCGGCGTGGTGGTGGCCGGGGTCGTGGAAGTACTGTTCTGCCTTCTTGGTATCCAAGAAGACCCCTTCGAGAGATTACTGCTGTAGTGAGGGTAATATCAGCTTCTTTCTTTTTCTTTTTATTTAATATCTATTTATTGTGTTTTCAGTTTTGTTTGGGAGATTAGTATATTGTTTGTCATTGAAGTTGTATGGGACTGTTTCTTGTGGGGATAATTGTTAATATGCTTCTTTGGGTTTAAAGTAGAAATGGGGAAGTGTACCATGGTTCATTGATGAGATTTGCTTGGGTTTGCATTGCTGGGCTGGTGGATTTCGTAGTTGTGGGGTTTGTTCTAGTTATTGTTTCTCTTGCTTTGTTGGTGTTGTTTGTTGTAAAATTATGGATATTAGTTCTTTATGATTGATGCATAGTTATTATGTTTTTCAGTGTGTTTATTGGTCTTGATTTGTGGTAAGTGACAGTGTATGATTTTTTTTCGGGTCTTTTGTGATGATCATTATGTTATGTAGTTAAACTGGTTATATAAGACTGGAATCTCTATGGTAGCTTCTGATTTATTATGAGATTAGTCTAATTAGATATATTTCAGGTAGAAGTCCTGTAGGCCTAACTTCAGTCAGAGTTTTATCATGATGAGATACCATTAAGATTTTCAACTTCATTTAGAGTTTTAGCATTGAGGAGTGGCTTCTGTACTAACAAGGAGTCTATAGTTTCATTTAAATGTTATCTCAAGTTCACTTGAACTATGAAGCTGTTTGTCTGCCATATTTGCTTGTCCTAGATTAGTGATCAGGTGACAGACATAATAACACCACTGGTATGTTAGTTTGTTTTCACACGAACATTGATATCAAAGTTCGTTAAAAATCTTGTGTAAAGAATCTTTTTCTTTTACATGCCAAGTACTTTTACACAGCTGTTACTGAAGTTTATACTTTTCTATCACACAATACTCGTAACTAACTGAGAGGGTTATCTCTCTCTAGGCAATTGAAAGAAGAAGAGCGCATAGGGAAGAGGGTGAAGGCCTACGACAAACTGAGAGTCCTATACTCCGGGACAGTATTCATGATCCTTCAGCATCCACCTCAGCTGTTCAACTCGAACACGACCTTTCCATGATCTCCCCACATCCGACTATTGGACTTAAATGCCCTCCATCGACCATTGGTAAAGTTCCAAAGATATTGCTCAATATCACAAATAACCAGAGTGATGGAGATTCCTCCATGACGCCTCAGAAGAAGCTTTTAGAAAATATTGACACGGTCGAGAAAGTGGTGATGGAGGAGCTTCGTAAGCTGAAGAGGACCCCATCTGCTAAGAAAGCTGAGAGAGAAAAACGGGTGAAGACATTGATGTCCATGCGCTAAAATATTTTGGCCGTTCATTTCTCATGTTCATTATTTTTGTCCTCAATCAAGGTTGAGGAGGGGCTTTTAGACGGGATGTTGAAGGTTGTTGAGTATCTGGCCTGTTGGGTATAGTTGATCATCTCTTGATGATCAGATTCTTGCTTTGTTGTAGATCATCTCTTGATGATCAAGCTATCAAATATCAGTATTGTTTTAGTTTCTATTGTGAATAGCCTTATAAATCGGCAGAAGTAACTGTGAGCAAGGATTAGTAGTCAGGAGCAAATATGAAGAATCTGTGAGGCATTTATTGACATTACATTTGTCCTGGTATTTGTTACTGGTGAAGTTACATTTTTTTTTCCTGAGCTGCAATTGGAAAAGACAGTTTGTTTTCTGCTTGAATAATTTCATGGAATCATTTGCTTCTGAAGTCTTCTGATTAATGTGTTCAGTGATATTTACTTGATTAATGATATATATGATGCTTGGCTTCTGGTCCTATAGGAAATAGGATATGATATATTAATTGTAAGGAGAGCCTCTGAAGTCTGATGTTAGCTCATTTTTGGTAAAAATTGTTTAATCTCTGTCAATATATACATTGTTTTTTAAATTGTTATTTCAACACACTGTTACACATTTAATTTGATGGTCACTGAATAATATATGCATAGTTGCTGAGTGTATCCTTGAGAATAGATAGAGACTAAGCAAATGATAGAATTTAAACTTTGCTGTTTGTTTTAAGATGAGCATTTACTCCATTTGAGCATGTTCGTGACTGTAACTGTGAGGTTCTGTTCTTGGTTGTGTTCTTTTTCTTTCTCTCACTCTCTTTGTTAAAATAAAACAAATACATACAGATTATGTAATGCTGTACACGAGAGAACCTCAAAATTTGAAAGGAGTTAAAAGGCAGATCAACAGTAGAAGCAAATAAAATCCCTTTTTGCCAAAGGTTTTAACTTTTAACAGTCATCAAGCATGAAAAGAGAGAGCATCTGGAATACCCTAAATAGAAAAAGTGCATGAAATTTATTCAAGCAATCCACCCACCATCTGCAATGGGGCAAAAAAGAAAAAGAAAAAAAAAATGAAACAAAAATGAAAAAGAGTGATAAACATCAAGTACAACCCAGAAGTTCATTACAGCTTCCGAAACGATTACAGTGAAATAAACACAAACAAAAACCGAGCTACTCAACAGTAGGCCTTTTCTTGAGGGTATAAGGATAGTATTCTTTGCCCGTGTCGACTCTCGTAGTTTGACCACCGATATCAATGGCAGCAGATGTTGCAGCAAGTGCAGCTCCTGCAGATAGGGCTGTTGATATGCTTTTACCTGCATGAAGGAAATATATCGACATTTATTAATCTCAAGCACATTTATTGAATATTAGAGTGGAAACACAAGCAGTGCTCTGTCAATTGTGAGGGAAAAAAAAAGTAGAATTTAAGATATACTATTCAGCAGAAAAGCCAAAGGTGGAGATGAAATCTTAGTCATAAGATATTCATAATATATAACACATAATGCAAAGGTAGAGAGGCTTCGGCATATATTAGTGAAAGAAAGCCACCGGTGCAAGTAGCAGAAAGGCATCACTAACACATATTATCAACCGAGATTGGTCGATAAGATACCATCATCTATGCCGGCTACAATTCTTTTGCTATGTTCTCAAAATTTCGCTTGTCACCATTGAGAACATGTCGAGTAGTGAACAGATTGAATATCAGTCGAAAACATGATAAAATCCCAAGAATAGTAAGTGAAGCCATCGGCATTGAACAATACAAGGGCACAAAATATTTGTCTACAAACCGGTAGCTTGGATATAAATTCTTTCAAAAAAATCCACTAGTTTTTAATCAATCAATTTTTTTAACTATAATCTAACTCAACTTTAACTCAAGTTCACTATCCTCAATGTCAATATTATCAATATAACTAACTAATATCATTCAATCATTCTTAGACATTACATCAACTTTAATCCACTATTCATATACTCATATAATTTTAACTATCATCACTTCACACCATCTCTCTCCTACTTTTACATCAAATCAACTTTAACTATTTTATTTTAAATATTCTTTTAATATACCCACTAACAACTAACCCTACCACCTTTTTCAAAATTAACCAAACCAAACGAAAAAATCCAAACAAAACCAAAAACTCTTATATCCAAGCATCCAAACATTCACAAACACATGTATAAAACGAGATGCACAAAAATAAAGTCAGCAGTATAAAACAACATTGAAATGGAAGAACATAAGGTTTCACCTTTGAAACCCAGAATAGATGCACCAGCAACAAATCCACCGACAGCTCCATTAACAAAGTCTCTTTTCATCCTGAATTTCTGCACTATCTGCTCGACCCCAATGTAGACCCCACCTATGGCAGCAAATGTGACTCCATGATTACCCATCATCTTCAGAGTCCGGATTAAACCAGGAAGTGCGATTCTTCTCTCAACACGAGGCACGTCGTGCCAGGTGGCGACAATCGTACCCCAGAGAGTGCCAGCTGCTAGTCCCGTGACTGCCCCCTTTAGAGTTTTCATAACAGGAGTCTCTTCATCCTCAAATTTCCTAAGATCCTCGGTGTCTATTTTAGCCATCTTCAACTAATACGACTAAAGTCTGTACAAAAAGGTGGTCAAGAAACGGAAGAACAGAAAAAATCAGATGCTTACACACAATATTCAATTTTCTGAAACTAAAAGAAATCTCTACGTTGAAAAAGTTTTCAAATGAATCCTTGTACAATTGATCCACATTTCAGTAAAACTGAATTAGGTTATTAATCATTTAAACCATCTATGGAGGATTTTAATCAAGATTTTCAGCTAACCTTTAACCCACCTACATGGGTCGAGGTCGGAGCAGGTGTGTTGGTACATAAAAACTCCAAAATAAAGAATCTAAGACGAAACAAAATCTCCATACATTCACAGTTTCTAAAGAACGAAGCACCTTACGATTTCTCACAAATTTTGAGACACAAATGCATAAGCAAAATCCAAGAATTCAAAAAATTCTCACGAATTTATTCAATATTCGTTTTAATAACACACCCAATCTAGAACCCATGAACCAAGTTTTCAACTTTTCATACTTCTATCCACGATCAACACGAAAGGGGGAAAAACAATTGGAAAAAATTACAAATCGATACGCAGCCACCACGATACACTTTTTCATACTATCACAGAGCATGTGCGCGTCGATATGTACGATTGATCGGAAAGATAGAGAGACAGAGCTCACCTCACCTGAACTGGAACTGATCTGTCGTCGCTCGATTTAGAGAGAGATGTCAGTTGAGCAAGCTGAAGATGAAATGAAATGATGAGAAAATTGGACAGTTTGGGTGGGCCTATATTGGGCTTTAAATGAATGGGTTTGGATCAATGTGGGTGTATTGAAGTAAGCTAACTGAAGGCCCATTTGTATTATTTACGCAGAAGCCCAATGTGATACTCCAACTTTTACTAGTGTTCACATAAAAAATCATATTTTTCATTCGAGCATTAACAAGTTATAATATCATATAAAAAATTATATTTTCGAATCTTCATGTGCCGACTGTTAACTAAACTAGTATTTGACCTGTGCATTTGCACAGATATAAATAAATTATTGTGAGTCTGTATGCATATAATGATTAATTATTTTTCTTTCACTTTTTTGCAGACCAAATTTACAATTAAAAGAGTTGTAATATTTTTTTTAAATTGCGTTTATCTGATTGGATGTAATATATATTTTGGTACGTCTTTTATTTGTGAATTATTTATTATTTATTTATGAATTTCAAATATATTTTTTATTTTCAAAAAAAAAAATTAAATATAACAACAATAATAACATCTAATCACATTATACGGTCAACACATTATATGGTCAACTGTCATTAATAAAAAATTTAAAATAATTTTTGTAATTTTGAAGTGATGAGTATTAATTATTTAATGATTAAATGAAAGATTAAATACATCAAAATGTAACGATTTTTGGAGAGAAAATTATTAAATTGCCACATAGGTAAAATTAAATAGGTTTTATTTAATGCTATTAGCTAGTAATTATATATACTAGTATTCGACTCTGTGCATTTGCACAGATGTAAATAAAATTAAATATTATAAGTTATATTTATGTATATAATATAAAAATTATAAGTTATATAATTGTATTATATTTCAGACATATAGTATTATAAGTTATATTTATGTATATAATATTAAAATTATAAATTATATAATAGTACTATATTTTAAAATTTGATCATTGGTTAAAATAAATAGTACACACGATTTGATTGTATACGAATCATTATATTGATCGCATAAAATGTAATAAATATATACTTTTTATAATTTTGAGTGATCATGACCAATTAATTAGCTGAAAAATATTACATTTATTATAACAATTGCTTATGTGATTTTAAGAAATTTTACTATGACATAAAAAAAAATAAATTTTAAATAAACAACATCTTCATCATATAAAAAAATATTGATTTTAGTGTAAAATATAATTTTATGTAACTTTCATATATTATTTAGTATAAAATATAATTACTAATTTTAATATTAACTATTATATTATTCAATAAAAAATATAATTGATTAATCAATTAACATAAAATATAATAGTTTCTGTCTTAATTAACCCAAAAAAATGTAATGAAATATTTTTTTATTAATGAGATTGGGTGTATTAATGCCACATAAATAAAATTTATTAAGTTCTATTTATTAGGTTTTATTAATGATTTGCCACATAGGTAAAATTTATTAGGTTTTATTTATTAGGTAAAATTTATTGCTTAGCTAGCAATTATATATATATAGATGAACTCAAATAAGAGGAAATTGCAAATTTGATCCCGTTAGATTGGGACGGTCGTAATTTTAGTCTCAAGAGGCGCAATTTCAATTCTTAACTAATTTTTGTTGCGTAATTGGTCCCAAATTTAACTGACCGTTAAGTCACCGTTTGTCATTAGTTTGAAAAGGGAGAAAATTGCAAATATAATCCCATAAGATTGGTTTTGTTGCAAATTTAGTCCCAAATATTGAAAAAATAGTTTTATTACTAATTTTTGTTGCAATTTTTACTCCGTGAGTATATAACAATATTTGATAGTAAAAATTTAGTTTTGAGACAAAAAAAAATAAAAATTACTATACAATGTTTTTTATATTTAAAATTAATTTTTATTAAATAATAAATGTATTTAAAAAATAATAATTATTTAATTTATTAGAAATATAGAAATCTAGAGGTTAATAAAATTTATAAAAAATAAAATAAAAATAAAAGTAATACCAACTACTATTTGTTTGAAAGCTCGGCCAAACTTGTTGTTGAATCGAGAATCGGTCAACTAAACGGTTTGATTCCTTTAAACAGATTGGTTTCAATGAACCGATTAGAATTAGTTGAATGGACTGGTCAATAATATATATATTTTTTAAATAAATTTATAAATATTTATATTTTTTAATATAACGAACATATAAGTTTAAATATATTTGATATATATAAATTCAAATATATTTGAATTTATATTATTATGTTTTGTGTATTTAAAATATTTTTAATTAAATAATAAATATATTTACATAAATATTTATTTAATATTATTATAATTATATTTGTTGATAAAAAATAAAAATTTAATTTTAGAGGTTAATAAAAATTTAAAACGTAAAATAAAAATAAAAATAAAATCAATTACTCTTATTTTTAAAATAATATCAACTATTATTATTTTTAATTTTTAGAATTGGTCAAATGGTTGGATTCCTTTGAACGAACTGGTTTCCAATGAACCAGTCAGAATTGGTTGATCGGACTGGTCAATTGTATATATATATATATATATATATATATATAACTTAAATTCATATTTGATATATAAAAAAAATATTTTTTTATTAATTCATATTTTTTAAATTCATATTTGATATATAACAAAAATATTTATATATTTTTAATATAAAAAAATATAAACTTAAATATCTTTGATATATATAAATTAAAATAAATTTAAATTATATTATTATTAATATATTAAAAATTTTAATTGCAATAAGATGTTTTCTATATTTCAAATATTTTTAATTAAATAATAAATATATTTAGTAAATCATCATTTAATTTTATTATGATTATCGTGGTTGATAAAGAATGAAAATATAACTCTAGAGGTGAATAAAATTATAAAAAATAAAAATAAAAATAAAAAGTTATTTTATATATATCAAATATGAGAAAATTGCAAATTTAGTTCCATAGTTGCAAATTTAGTTCTGAGAGTTAACGTTGACTTAACGGTCAGTTAGATTTGGGACCAATTACGCAACAAAAATTAATTAAAGACTGAAATTGCGATTCTTAAGACTGAAATTGCTACCGTCTCAATCTAACGGGACCAAATTTACAAATTGAAACGATTTACGAGTGTCTAACAAATTGAACCAATTTTATAAGTGAGAGGCTTCTAAACGAGCCCGGGCCATGACAAATTGAAACGATTTTACGAGTGTCTTATTTCGTTTGACACGTCTCACTATCTAAAATAAAACTACAAAGAAAATAAAATCTGATACAATTGTGAGTGACCAGCTGAAACCAATTTTCCAAGAACCCCAAAAAAATGCATTCTCAAGAAGAAATTCGGAACCTCCCGATCGATATAGCGTTCGCTCGCCTAGGAGGTAAAACTTTTCTTTCAGAAAATTGCTGCTGTAGATGTAGCCCTTCTTGTTTTTCCCCCCTTTTTTTATTTTGTAGAAAAATAAAAAATAAGTTGTGGTTTTGGTTGAAATGAAGAATGGCTGGTGGATCGGAAGAGGATTCCTGCGGATTGGAGAAAGCGAATGGCAGCTGTGAGGGCGAGGATAGCGACGTCGTTCGCTTCGCTGCCAAAGGAGATTGATCCCCTTTTCCAAACCCTCGACATCGAAGGTTTTTGAGTTCTTATTCATCCGATTTCTTGCATGACTATTCTTTGTCTGTATGTTTTCTGTTTTATTATGTTGCTGTTGTTTTTGTTGTTGTTATGTGAATGCAAATTGGGATTGGAGTTGATTTTTCCCAGAATTTATTTTGGAAACTCAGAGCTGAAGTGTTTGTAAATTTATCAAATTATTTCTGAGTGTAAGTTAAAGATGTGATTTTTAATTTGTGTTTTACTAAAAGAGTTTATTTTTATTAATTTATAAATTCACATGAGTTGAACTGTGGAAGTTTCTATGTTTCAGGGAAATAAGTTTGTGTATGCAGATACTTGAGTGGCTTTATGCTAGTCAATATAAGAGTTTTAATCCTCTTACGTTTTGAGGGATAATTTCTTTAGTAATCTCTCTAGTTGCTATTGCAATTTTAGGAATTGGCTACTTGGAAGCAAAACAGATATATGATATTCTTTTGAAGTCAACTCCAGAAAGCCGTAATATTTTTGGTCGGCTTTCGGGCGCTGCTGTAAGTTTCTAAATTTTATCTCCTTGATTATCTTTGCGTGATTGTTCTCTCTGTGTTATTTTGGAATATTTCTTTCAATTGGTTTTTAGATATTATTCCCAATTTTAACAGGGTGATTGGGAGACAATAGTTCGTGCTTATGAGAAAGATCATATTTTTCTTGGTGAAGCTGCACAGATACTGGTCCAAAATGTCACCTATGAAATGTGAGAAATGTTTATAGCTTATTCTTCAAAATCATAATGGTAATGTAAGGCTTCCGTTGTACGTCCTATATCTTAATTCACACGTTCTTTTCGTTTTGAAGTCCATACCAGAAGAAGCAAGTTCAAAAGAGTCAACAACAGCTAGCAGAGTTGGAGAAAAAGGAAGCTGATATAAAAAGAAATGCGGCTCTTTCAGCCGCAAAGTATGCAGAGGCCTGCCGGGAGCTAGGGTTGCAGGTTTTGCTTTTACTTCTCTGTACACACTATTTTTTTCTTTTTTTTTTTTTCTCAATTAATATTTTTTCCTTGTGACCTTGCTCTTTTTTTCTATCGATTCACAACACTAGAGTCTGGACTTTGCAGGGTATTAATGTCCGGTCAGAGTTGTTAGAAGCAGCCATAGCTACTCTTCCAAGCACTTTCAGTGAGATATTGGAAGTATTGAACAGTGACTCTGTTTCAAAGACCATTGAATTCTATTCCATGTTTGTCAAAGAGGCTCACACAGATAAGGATGTAAGAAACTTCTCAAATTTATCATCGAATTTCTCAATTTCAGTCTCATTCCCTTTCTCAAGATTTTTTTTTTGGGTACCTGCAGAAAATTCCCAGCCCCATTTTGCGTAATTTGGTTTATGTTCGAGAAAAGCCCCCTTCTCTTCATGTTTCTGCAGGTCCCGAAATTTGTGGTTCTATCAGTGCTCAACAGTACCTTGACGAGCCATCTTTAATAGCTGGGGCAGTGGATATTGCATCCGAAAGCATTGACTGGGATATTACATTAGACAGCTCTCAAATTGATTGGGATATTGGCACTATTGAGACAGATGATAATGGAAATGGATTGGGCCCATATGAAATTGTTAATGCTAGTGATATATTGCCAGATTCTCCTCTCAAAGCTGGTGTCGAGGCTCATCAGGGATCTGAAAGTAAGGAAGACCCTACAGCTCGGGAGGTCTCGGTTTCAGAGATTTCTTGGGATGTAAACGTGGAGAATCCACAGATTGTTAAGGTTGATGAAGCAGATTTATCGAGCACTCATATAGAATCCGGCTTAACCTATAATTACACTAAAATTGAGGCATCTGGGGATAATCAAGAAAGGAGTGAGCTTATGGAGACAGAGTACAGGAATAAGCTTCTAGACGACTTATTTGAGGTCTGAATCAGTTTACTTTATTTATTTATTTTTTCCTGATGTGGCTCAGTCACGAATCTGTTATGCCTCGTTTACTTAAGCTGATAGGATAGGATATGGTTGGATAACTCCTGTTATCCAACGTTTACTAACCATTATGGGATTGGATAATAAGTTGATGTGTCCTGTGGGTCCCACATTTTTATCATGTCTTGGCAGATTATTCTGTCGGGTCTTGACGGTGGGACAATTTAATCCCACCTTAGAAATGACCATCTTGTCCAAAAATTGGCACGTGAAATGTCCCTTTTACCCTTTAGAAGTCCACCAAATTACAGATTTAGGCCATATAAAATTGTCCTGTGGGTCCCACACTTTTACCTCATATTTTGCCTTTTATCCTTCCATTTTATTGCTTGATTTTTTTGCCTTAAAATGCATCATGTTTTGTAAACATTGGACACAAACTGACGTGTAAAGTTGATGGAATTAAGCTGTCCAATCCCATTATTTTAAGTAAACGAGGCCTTATTATTCTGTTAGTCTTTGGATTATTTTGGTGTTTCATCTTTGACTTGCTCCACTGTAAATCCAGGCGAAAGCTTTTCTGAACCAACGATTACTCGAATTGACTAATGAAGAAACTTTATCACTACAACATCAAGTCCAAGCTGTAGCTCCCTTTGTGCTTCAACAGTACACTCCGGAAGCTATTCAAGTAATGCTGTCCGACATCTCTCGAGCCATCTCAAAATTAACCAATAGGAAAATTAGGGACCTGATCATGATACTTAATTCCAGAAGGTATTGTTAATCTGCCTTTTTTTTTCTTAACATCTGTTTAGCTTTTTTTCGTATGTTATGGTATTGCATGATTATCTTTTTGTTGGGGGGAAAGAAAAATTGATGTTGAGATAAAATTTCCCATAGCCTGCTTTTTGTTCTTTTTATAACCAAATTGGTTTTGCTTAAAAAATCCAATTTTCCAAATTTCAGATTTTTGGATCGTTTGGTAAGTACACTGGAAGAAAAGAAACGTCACGAGATTAAGTTAAAGGATGGTCTGAAAGATCTCTACACTAAGCGCCTGGAGCTGCAGAACTCGTTATCTTCGTCATGGCCTAAACAGGTTTGCTCAATCTTAAAACGTTTTTTTTTTTTTTTTTTTNTTCAAAAGTATAAATGCGTACAATTTGGTGTTTGATGGGCCTGTTAGGCATTTCACTCATGCACTTCTCAAGAAGACTCAGTTTCGTAATTAAATTATCAATTTAATTTTTAAAAAAATATGCTAATGTTAATATAACGAATTAAAGTATTAGTATACTATTCTTGTCAGACGAGCTCTACCGATATTTATTTATATATTTTGCAGGAAGCGGCTCTTGTGAAGACCCGGGAGTTGAAGAAACTTTGTGAGAGCACACTTTCGAAACTTTTTGATGGGAGACCGGTCAATATAATTGGAGAAATCAACACATTGCTAAGTAGCGGCTTAAGCGCCTAAACTCTCGTGCAACCATTTGTAACAATGGCTAACAAAAACAATTTCACATTGCTATAATTTTCATCTTGGCAAACTTTTGCAGCCAAAATACCAAATACCCTTTTGAATGAGTGAATTGAAATTTTGGCTGTCTTTGAGGATATTCAGTAGTTCATCAGTGCACCAAATTCGTGTGTTGTGAACATCAATAGCAGGATTACACAGAGTAGTTGCTTAAAATGGGTGAACCAAACAAAATGGTTGGTACACAAGTGTTAAAAGGGATATCCGTAACTTTTTAGATAACTGGGATTTGGTGTGAAACTGAAATCTTCCTTAACACCCACAAGTTTACTTAGTAAGGTGGTGTGAATTTGTGACTAATCTATATATATATATATATATATATAATTACTTACTAGCAAAGTATTTAATAAAACTCTTTTTGTTTTTTCCTTTTTTTCCTTTACTTTTTCATAAATCTAGCAATTATATTTTTTATTTATTTTATTATTTATTATATAATTGATACTATTAAGCATTAACTAATAATAAAGTCACATTAAATATTATTCTATTATATAGTTTCAAATTATTTATTTAAAACTATTATTTCTTTTCAACTCATTAAATAAAGTTTTTTTATTAAAATTATTTTAATTATTTTTTTATGATATAAACAAATACTTTAAAATTTCGAACACAATAATTTTTTATTCAATTAATAATAGTAATAATATAATATAATATAATAATATAATAATGGAAACTTATTGGAATAATTTTTAAATTTTCCCCTTGAAAATGACTAAACAAGACCCTCCCACAGGCCAACAGATGTTTCTTCTCCATATTTGGAGTTTCCATCCCTTTTGTGTTCCACCGGCTCTTTGTACTCGATAATCACTGAGGTTAATTTTGAAGGTTGATAGTCTCTGGATTGAGCTTTTTATATAAAACCTGAGACTGATTTCATCTGCAAGTTGTGCCTTTCTCTGTTTGTATTGGTTTCACTGATCGTTGTGCCTTTCTCTGTTTGTATTGGTTTCACTGATCGAGATTGCATGAGAAAGACTTGGGCTTTTTTCATTTGCACGCAACCTGCTCGACGTAATTCTTCAGAAGCCCTTTTTATTTTTTTTTTCTTACTCCTTTTTCTCACTTGTCATTTTTAATGAATCTACTTCATGTGTACTGATGACTGATGGTCATGATTCCAATAAATGGATACCTTAGTATTGTTGATACTTGTTTGAATACTCATGTGAACAGTGAACACTTTTTCTTTTTTTATTATTCTTTCAGTTCTGCGATATATTATCGAATTTGATATCTATCGTGGAGAATTCGTAGCAACGGCATTTCTTTGATAAAGATCGAGACGTAAAATTGTTCTCATGAGATTTTTTAATAAATTTGTTATGTTTATTTAATATTGTATGCATTTCTCTTCTTGATGATTTAATAATTTTATTGCTTGGTACAATGCAGGACAATGGTTGGAGTCCAACTGATCATTTGAAGGGTAGAGTAATAAGAGAAATGGGCTTGAGGAAATATATGAGCTTATCCACCACCAGAAAATGATTAAAAGATTCCATTCTACTTTGAGATGTTCGTATAATCGTGTCAGCAATGGTTTGCAAAACGTTGCAGATCCTAATTTCAAGAATGAACAATCATTTAATGTCTACGTAAGCACCTTGTGCAAGCAGAAGCTTTTTAAAGATGCCCTTCTGGCCTTTGATGCATTAGAAAAGAATGCAGATTTACTGATAGATCCAAGTACTTATACTCATTTGATCTCTGCATGCTCGTCTTTGAGATCAATAGAATATGGACGACAAATTCATAACCACATCTCGAACTCCAACTCACTTCCCAATATGATTCTCGAGAATCATATTCTGAATATGTACGGAAAATGCGGTTCGACAAAAGATGCCAAGAATGTCTTTGACAATATGAAGATGAGAAATGAGGTGACCTGGACTGCTTTAATCGCTGGTTACTCACAAAATGGTCTTGACATTGAAGCCGTAAATTTGTATATCCAAATGCTGCAAACTGGTTTTATGCCAGATCAGTTTACGTTCGGGAGTGTGATTAAAGCTTGTGCGAGTCTGGCTAAGGCTAGTTTAGGGGGTCAATTACACGCACAGGTAATTAAATCCGAATTCGGTTCTCACTTAATAGCTCAAAACGCTCTTATTGCAATGTATACTAAGTTCGGTCAAATTGATGAGGCCCGCAATGTGTTTTCCCACATGAAGTCGAATGATTTGATTTCATGGAGTTCAATGATTGCTGGGTTTTCAAAACTTGGTTACGAATTGGACGCTTTATGCTGTTTCAAGGAATTTCTGTCTCTGAGTACATACAAACCAAACGAATTTATTTTCGGCAGCGTTTTCAGTGCCTGTGGCTCAAAAGGTCAGCCAGAATGCGGAGAACAAATACACGGGCTTACTATTAAATATGGGTTCGAAAGCAATGCTTTTGCTGGTTGCTCGCTAACTGATATGTACGCAAAATGTGGGTTGTTTAATTCGGCCAGAAAATCATTTGGATTGATAGAAAATCCCGATAAAGTGTCCTGGAATGCACTTATTGCGTGCTTTGCATACGGAGGTGATGCAAATGAAGCCCTGTCGATTTTCTCCCAGATGAGAAAATTAACGTTGGCTCCGGATGACATCACTGTTCGTTCTTTACTTTGTGGCTTCACAGATCCATTTTCCTTATCTCAAGGGAAACAAGTTCACTCTTTTATAATAAAAATCGGGCTCACTCTGGACCTTCCCGTATGCAACACTTTACTCACCATGTACGCTAATTGCTCTGATTTCGAAAACGCGTATAGAATGTTCGACGAAATTCAGGGCAATGCTGATTTAGTCTCCTGGAACGCTATACTTACCATGTGTGCTCGTCAGCACAAGGTAAATGAAGTTTTCTCGTTATTTAAGACGATGCTGTTAGTTCACGGCAAGCCCGATCACATCACTTTGGCCAATGTGCTCGGGACATGTGGAAAAATCGCCTCTTTAGAAACTGGGGCCCAAGTTTTCTGCCGAGTAGTGAAAACTGGGCTCGACTCAGACATAATGGTCGTGAATGGGCTTCTCGACACGTTTGTTAAGTGTGGGGCCCTCGAGAGGGCTCGCGAGCTTTTCGACCGCATGGAGAACCCAGATGTCGTCTCGTGGAGCAGTTTGATTGTCGGGTACGCGCAGTATGGCCACGGGTGTGAAGCGCTGAATCTATTCCTGAGAATGAAAAATCAAGGCGTGAAGCCGAACCAGGTGACTTTTGTGGGTGTTCTGACGGCGTGCAGCCACGTGGGGCTCGTGGATGAAGGAATGAGACTATTCGAGTCCATGGAGAAAAATCATGGTGTGGGCCCCACAAAGGAGCACTATTCTTGCGTGGTGGACCTGCTGGCCCGTGCGGGCCGGATTCACGAGGCGGAAGCTTTCATGGGCCGGATGGGATTCGAGCCCGATATTGTGATGTGGAAAGCACTTTTGTCCGCGTGTAAGAACTTTGGGGAAAACGAGGTGGGGAAAAGGGCGGCCGAGAATATTTTGAGGATGGATCCTTCGAATTCGGCTGCGCACGTTTTGCTTTGCGGTATATATGCCTCGGCTGGCGAGTGGAGTGACGTGGCGGGTTTGAGGAGTTCGATGAGAGAGAAAGGCGTGAAGAAAGTCGCTGGCCGGAGCTGGATCGAGGATAAGGATGGGATTCACGTGTTTTCGGCGGAGGATGGATTGCATCCTGAGAGGGATAGGATTTTTGCCATTGTAGAGGAGCTGTGGTTGCAGATTTTGGATGTTGATGATTGTGTGTTGTCCTTGGAACTGGAATAGAGTTTTNATTTTTTATTCTTATTATTATTATTGTTGTTATTATGGTTATTCTTTTTGCAAACAACTTGTATTTTGTAATAGATAGACAGGGATAATTTTATGGTGGTGATGTTCTATAGAGTCTGCAGACGATGAGCTAGGGTTTTGTGCATCCGTTGATAGCTGAATTATTTGTGTCTACTGCCAGTTTAAAATAAATGTGATTACATGAATTGTGATGATCATTGTTGAACTCCAGTAATGTGTGACACTTTCTGTTTCTGCAGGCAGTCATCAATTTAATAGGAGTACAGCATACAATTTTCTTGCTTTTCTAACAAAAATAAAAAATAAAACAATTAGCCAGGTGGCATATTAAAACCTAATATGTTTTACCATTTTTTTTGTCAAGTTTTCATTAAGTGGGTGTTTGTTGTGTTTTTGTGCTTATTTTTATGTGTTTTATGTGCTTAGTTGAGTCGGTTCTAGGTCGTTTTCTTGTTCAACCGGTCCATTTTAGTTGTTTCGCGTGTTTTTATTTATTTTTGATGTTTTTGTGTTTTTGGCGTACTTTCCCGTGTCACTTGGTATTTTATAGGTCAATTTGTTCGAGTTTGAAAGAGGAGGAATCCAGCCGAGTCCCGAGCACGCGAGTTGAGAAACCGAGCATGTCATCTCCGTCCATTTCCGAGAATGTCTAGCACAAATTCCCATAGAGTTTGAGTGCAATGAAAGAGACCCGAGAGATGTCCACCGAGATCCCGAGCATTCGCCCGGCATTACGCCGGGCGAACCAAATTTCGCCCGAAGCCACATGAGCACTCGCCCGGCGTTTCGCTGGGCGAAAATTGGACGAGTCTGCACGCGCCTATGAAGCTAGCACTCGCACGTCATTTCGCCGGGCGAAACATGGGCGAGTGCGTGTTACACTTGCCCGGCATTCCGCCGGGCGAACCAATTTTCGCCCGAAGCCACATGAGCACTTGCCCGGCGGAAACTGGTCGAGTCTGCACACGCCTATGAAGCTAGCACTCGCACGGCATGTCGTCGGGCGAAACATGGGCAAGTGCGTGCCTATGAGATTTTACACTCGCCCAGCATTCTTTGGCATTCTGCCGGGCGAACCAAATTTCGCCCGAAGCCACATGACCACTCGCCCGGCATTTCGCCGGGCGAAACATGGGCGAGTGCGTGTTACTTGCCCGGCATTCCGTCGGGCGAACCAAATTTCGCCCGAAGCCACATGAGTACTCGCCCAGCAGAAACTGGTCGAGTCTGCACACGCATATGAAGCTAGCACTCGCACGGCTTGTCGTCGGGCGAAACATGGGCGAGTGCGTGCCTATGAGATTTTACACTCGCCCAGCATTCTTTGGCATTCTACCGGACGAACCAAATTTCGCCCGAAGCCACATGAGCACTCGTTTGGCATTTCGCCGGGCGAAAACTAGGCGAGTCTGGACGCGCCTATGAAGCTAGCACTCGCACGGCATTTCGCCGGGCGAAACATGGGCGAGTGCGTGCCTATGAGATTTTACACTGTCGGGCAAACCAAATTTCGCCTAAAGCCACATGAGCACTTGCCCAGGATTTCGCCGGGCGAAAATTAGGCGAGTTTGCACTCGCTTATGAAGCTAGCACTCGCACGACATTTCGCCGGGTGAAACATGGGCGAGTGCGTGCCTATGAGATTTTACACGCCCGGCATTCCACCGGGGGAACCAAATTTCGCCCGAAGCCACATGAGCACTCGCCCCAACGGAAACTGGGCGAGTCTGCACGCGCCTATGAAGCTAGAACTCGCACGGCATTTCGCTGGGGGAAACATGGGCGAGTGCGTCCCTATGAGATTTTACACTCGTCGGGATTTCGCCGGGCTGAATTTGGGCGAGTATGTTTACTAAATGTGTGTGTTTAGTGCGTGTTTTTGCTATTTAGTATAAATACATATAGTTTTTTTTGTATTTGGGGCATCGAGATTCCATTTTTCACTTTTCCACTTTGGGAAAAGCTCTCTAGTTTCTAATTTTTTCTCTATATTTTTGTGTTGGAGCTCTATGACATCATTTTTCAGAATTTTCGTTTTCGTTCAATTTCCGAGCTTTTGAATCCAAATCTCGTCTACCACGCAATAGAAGATTGGGTATTTGATTCTAAACCTCAATACTTCGTTTTTGCCTTGTTTTTACTTTTGATGCTTATCAAAGTAGATTTGGGTGTTTGATTGATGGAGGATGGGAAGTTTTGATGCTATTGTTTTATTGCTTGTCTAAGTGATTGTAGGGATTAATTGTTTGTCTATCTATATATATATAATTGCTAGCTAATCCCATTTAATAAAACATTTAATAAAAATATTTTCACTTTCCCTCCAAAAGGAGTTACATTTTTTTTAATTAGTTACTCATTAATCTCACATTTAAGAAGGTTTTTTATAGTTAAATTTAATTAGTAAATGACTAAATTAAAAAGATTTATTTTAATTAATCCCACATTTATGTTAAGTACAGTATTATCTTAATATCTTATCAGTTTTTCAAAAAGATAGTAACTTTTTTCAATAAATTTTATAAAAATTAGTCAAATGTGCTTATATTCATATAAATCAGAAAAAAAAATTAAATCTTAGATATATAAAAAGAACATCGTTGAAATAACTTGAATCCGCAAAGGTAATTCTATACTCATTATCAATTACTTTAAATTTTTTGTTTATATAAAAAATTAATATTATATTTACTCATTTATATTTAGATGGTATTTTTTTATTAAAAAGCAAGGACAATCTCTATCAATCAATAAGAGTCGAGACAAACAATATAAAGAAGTGTTTCCTATGCTATGACATGATCAATAAGAGTCAAAGACAGTCTCTGTCGCACGTCGGCTTACTACTGAAGAGCTCTGCATTTAGTCATGAGCAATTATACGTGGCGCTTTTTAAAGTTACGAGTCAGTGGGGTTTGAAGATTTTGATTTGAGCTGAGGGAGATTTTGACGATAGAAAAACCACGACGTTGTTTTATAAAGAAGTGTTTAAGAATATTTATATTTTTTTTTCTTAATTTTTTTCAATGAATTTGTTATGATTTTTACTATTGTTTATAATTTTTATTATTTTTCATGTATCATATAGTTTTCCGTGCAAATGCACGGGACAAAAACTAGTCTATATTAAGGATTGAGACGCTAATTAGAGCTTAATCACTTAGGGTTATAAAGTTAGTATTAATCACCTTTTTTTTAAGGAAGTTAGTATTAATCACCTAGTGCTTAGGGTTTGCATATTTCTCTTTGTTGTTTGTGTTTTGTGTCGATGGCATAAAGATTCTGGTAGTGTTAATTGCTATATTCTCTCGTTTTTCTCGTTGCTCTTAATTGCTCTAATTTTCTAGTCTTAATTATTTTAACATCATCTCAAGCTCATTGATTAGAATGTTCAGGTCTTATTTTCTTGTTTTGTATTTTGGACAACCGATTAACGAACAAAGACTCGAATAGCCTTCCTTTGAGAACGACCCGAGTCCGGATAACTCGGTACCATCTACCCACAAATTACTACTCAACAGTGGGTCATGTACTTGATAACAGATTGAATTGTGATTAGAGGAGTAGGCCTTTATTTAGACATAAAGTATAAGTCAATTTGTGATTAAAGGAGTAGGCCTTTATTTAGACATAAAGTATAAGTTATTTATTAAGGATATTTATTAAAAGTAAATATTGAGTCTCCTTATAATAAAATTTATGTTTGTTTTACATTAATTTATATTTTATACTTAGTTCACCTTTTATATGTAATTTATACAATAATTAATATTGTAATTACAAAATTCATTTATGTTTGAAAGTTCTTTTGCTTATTAATTATATCCTAAATTTTTCTTATTTTGTTCCTTTTTCAGATTATATGCTTCATATTAAATATAATCAATATGAATGTTTATTAAGTAATTTATTTTTTATGTTGTGTTTATTTAGGACTAACTTAGTGTTTAGTTGATCACACTTAAAGTTTATTAAGTAATTTAATTTTTATTTTGGACTAATTTAGTTTTTAGTTGGTCACTCTTAAAATTTATTTATGAGGTATGTGGGTTTTTATAAAAATAGTTTTAGCCCGAGTAGATATTGAATCTTGGCTCCGTCCATGTTTCTGCTGATTGAATTTGCATGATCCCTTAGGATTACTTTGATGAATTAATGCTACTTTGAACATAATATTTAGATTTATTAATGTTTGGATATTGGTGTGATATAGATAAATGTAAGCCTACAGTTGAAACTTGCACAACAATTGTTTGTGTACTGTTACGAGTGTTTTGAACATTGTTATAGTTTATTATTATTGCAAAAAATCATGATCAGGTTCATTGATTTAACTATTCATCAAAGTTTGAATTTGTTTAAATTAGAATAAATAGTATATAAAATTATTAAAATTATTTGATTCACTCGAAATTAGTTCGCTGAAGATCGGTTGAATTCAAAAGTAAAAATTAAAAAGATAACAAAAAGATATGCACTTTAAACTTTATTATTAAATATATCTATATAGGGTCACGTTCCGGTGAGAATGACTCTTAATGCGAGAAATGAGAATAAATATGGTGCACACGATCAACACAATCTAACGGATGTCAAGCAGTTGTGGGATTTAATACTGCAATTATATCGAAGGGCACGTGGGTAATTATACCTCACACCACCCCACTCTCTCACACGAACACACCCCTAAACAGTAAAAACACACACTCACACACACTTCCCGTCGCAACTCGGCCAGTCGATCACCGGTCACCGTCCACCATCGGCCAATACCACCTTCGCCGTCGCCATCTCAGAGATTCCCGCCTCCACATGAGCAGACCACTGGAACTGACCTCGGTCGCCCGCGACTCCGCCGCCAGAAAATTGCAGATCCATCTCCAATCGATTCGGATTTTGCCGTCTTGGTAGGCGGTGAAGATCTTGTGGCCGAGGGCGACTAGGGATTTGACCGACCCATCCCCGTGGCCGAATCTGGTGAAGAATTTGAGTTGGGGATTTTGCCAGACGATTGTGTCCCTGCTCTGGGAGGCGCTGATGAGGAACTCGCCGCAGAGGGCGAGGGAAGAGACGGGGGCCACGTGGCCTTTTAGGATGGCGAGGGATTTGTAGGGTTGGGAGAAGGGGATTTTTTGGTTTGGGGGAGAATAGGAGTGGAAAGAATTTGAAGGGCTCTCGTCTGGCTCTTCTGTCGTCAAGCTGCTTGGATTTGAACTTGGAGACGACAATGGAGGTGAAAGGATGGTGTTATGATTGACGGATTTTTTCAACATTTTTCTCTTTGGGTTTTTTTGTTTTGGAAAATTTGATCTTTATTGTGATGTGAGGAATTGAGAGGTGGATTTATTAGATTAGATGAGATTGTTGATAAAGAAAAAATAGGTTCAGGTATTTGTGCAAGTAGAATTGCAGATCCATCCGCCGAAGTCCGTGTCCATTGGAGACCCGCAACGCCGCTTACCGGATTCGCAGTCCTCCGACGACCTCGAAATCGACCAGCAGAGATTAAAACACATTGGGGCTTCAAATCACATAAATCCGCGGTCGATCAATTGGGATTTGTCGAATCATTTGTTTAATGAGTAATCACTTCTCTTGATGATGAACAACACAACCCGGCTATGGCTTTCGGAGATGATGAGCGTGAGGCCGCCGCTGCCTAATATCACCGGCAAAGTGGACGGGAAATTGAATTTGGGGGTTTGGGTTTTTTTTTTTTTTAAAAAAAAAATAGATATGTTTAAGGGACCTAATTGCAATTTTATAAATTTTAATTATATTACAATTTGGTTAATGGGTCAAATCAGTAATTTAATAAAACTTTAATAATTGCACTTTAATGTACAGTGCATTGCACCATATCGATTTCGGAATCATTAAAAATATCACTATACAGATTGCACCATATTGTTATACAAATTGCACTTTACTGCATGTGATATTGCACTTTATCGCAATAGTGCATTTTACGCAATAACTAAAATACCCCTGCATGAAAAATCAAAAGTCCACTTATTTACAGAAATGTCACCGTGTGCTTGACTAAGATTAAACCCTTTGACCGTGTCTGCATGTGACCCTTTCTTAATAATGCATATATATGAATAACAAATAAATTATTAAATAAAAAATATTATAAAATATTAAAAAAATTTATAATAATAAATAAATTATATAATAAAAATAATAAATGAAAATATATTTTAATTATTTAAGTTAATTAGATGTAAAAATATATCGATTAAAACTAGTTTTCGGATACACATGGGAAAGTATAAATTAGTGCATTTTATATAGCTGAATATTGCACTTTATAAAACAACACGTCAAATTGTATAAAACAACACATTGCACTTTATAACCACACTCCACAATTAATGTCAACAAGTATCGCCAAATAATTATGCAATATAAATATAAAAAATTGAGTGACATAATACTTTACTAACTATCACATAATATATCCTAAAAAAAACAAAATGCATATACACAAACATGTTAAAATATCGAAATTTCGGTATTGCACTTTATATATCAATACATTGAACTTTATATAGCATTACGTTGCACTTTATAACACGACGCTTTCCATGTACTAAAGTCGCAGTGATTCAAACGATCGATCGAATAATATTAGGTGGTTAATGTCGGATTTAATAATTTTTAAATAAACAAAACAACCGAACATGCCCAACTATATGAAAAAAATTCTCGATTTCTTTTTATTTATTTATATTTTTTATTATAAATGATATAATTTTTTAACTATATTTTTTATGTATTGCGAGTGCACGTTAGGGTTATACAGATTGCACATAAATGTCTATCAGATTGCACAAAATCAAACGATATCTGACAAACACAAATTCAGTACGAAATTTTATATTTTGGTTCTATTATAAATATTATTATTATTATTATTATTATTATTATTATTATTATTATTATCATTATTATTATTATTATTATTATTATTTATGGGGAATATCGGTACGATGACATTCGTTTTTTATTTAAATAACTTAAATAAAAACCAAACTTAAATTAAAAAATATTATTTGGAAAAATTTTTATTCAATAGAGACCACAATTGACAAGATTAAAATTTTTGATTTGAAACTTTATATTTCTAACAATTGTATATATTTACTTTTAATTTTAAAATACTAAATATAATATTATAAATATAAATAATAAGTTAATTTAGTTATTTCGGTTAAGTCGAATAACTGGCCGAATAAATTAATCATTTATATTCGGTTTTAATTTGGATTGTGATAAAAAATATCGATAAATGTCTCACAATCTTGCACATTTACGATAAAAAACATGCACATTATTGTTATGCAAATAGCACATTAATGTCTTACATTAAATCAATTCACACACAAATCACCCCAAATTACATTTCATCTACACTATTCACACGGCCAATTCACAAAATTCCTTCACTGAGTTTGCACCTAAATCAAAATTCCCCCAAATCAATTCACACACAAATCACCTCAAATTACATTTCATCTACACCATTCACACGGCCAATTCCCAAAATTCCTTCACTGAGTTTTCACCTAAATCAAAATTCCCCCAAATCATGATACAATTCGTCAGCTCCAATAGTATTTCTCAAATTCACACAATTCCTACACAAAGATTGACCAATTAATTTGCACCTAAATCAAAATTCACCCAAATAAATGATGCAATTCCTCAGCCCCAATAGAATTTCCGGCCGCCGCTTCCATCTCCCGTTCAGATCGCCGGCGAGCTCGTCCCGTTCAGGTCTCAATCCCTTAACTATTTCTCTGCAATTCGCCGGAACGGTGGCCCTCGCCATCAGTACAATCGGGGCGATCCACGGGCAAGCTGAGCGAGTTTGAGACGGGTGCGGGTGACTGATGGCGGTGCTGGGATGGACGACGACGCTCGACGGGATGTTAGCGGCGGCGACCGATTGGGCGGCGACAGGAGAGATTAGGTGAATGTAAGTGGCCGGTAGTTTGGGTGTGTTGATTCCGGCGTGTCTGGGAGGACGGGAGGGAGAGAGAGCGCTGATGGGGATGGCTGGCGGCGCTCGTCGAGATGGTAGCGGTGACAGTCCTGTGGCGGCGGCGGCCGGTGATTTGTGGGCCACTTTCCGTCGGGCCGCTGGAGAGTGTGTGTGTGTGCGCGATGAGTGTGTGTGTTTGTGTGTGTTTGAGTGGATATAAATATTAGGGTTGGTAGGTTAGTGTGTAATGACCGGATTGTCCCTATTGAGTAGTCAAATATGTATGTTTGACTACAAAGATATGTTAATTTACCATATTGCCATTAATGATTGACCAATTTTGACTTGATCAAAATCATTGATATGTTGGATCCAATGATCCAGACTTATTCTCATTTCTCGCATTAAGAGTCATTCTCATATGATCCTTTCTATATATATATATATATATATTTTTTTTATTTTTTTAAAGTTATTAAATTAAGATTTACAATAACAAACAAGCCTAAAGTTTTTGTTCAAGTAGGAATTTGGGTTTATCATTTTTCCAAAATCTCCATTTCCCCTCTAGTTAAACTTTGAACAAAATAAATAAGCGTGAATTTTTTTTAGCTTAGCCGTGATCAAAATCAGAAAAAAGTTCCCGCAGGTGAAAAACAATGGCTGGAGCTGGAGAAGAGGAGGACGATGATTATATGGGAGACCTCTCACAGTTTCTGCCGCCGGAAGTTTCTCGATCCTCCTCGAAGGTCACTGGTTCATACTTTCTTTGCTTGTCTTAAAATTCCCATAAATTTTTATGCATTTTTTTCGCAAGTTCATGTGAGAAAACCCTAGTTGCAGATTGGGGATTACTAAAACCCCATTAGTTCGTCACTTTGCTTTTCTCGTTTTCAAGCTTCCTTTATCTCGTCTGCGTATTCTGCGTCGTAAAGATGATTGCTTTTTTCTTCTTGCAATGCTTGAATCGAAATTCTAGTCATTGTGGAGTTCGAAATTGGGGCTTGGGAAAAAAATAAATAAATAATAACACGTAAGAAGTGTCATTAAATTTCTAGGATTACATTAACACTTAGTTAATTTTGATATTCATGAAATTTATGCGTTTCAGTTAATTGGGTTGTGTTGAGTTGAGTTGTTCCAGCTGAAATTCATTTTAGTAGTTTTGTTTGTTTCTTCATAGGGTTTGGCCAGTAATCCAGTAGCTCCGAGTTCCTCAAGCAAGAAACCCAAAGCCCTAAACTGGCAAGAACAGAAAAAGCTCAAACGGGAACGAAAACAAATCGAGGAAGACAAACAAACACTGGAAAACTTGGGCTCGGCTATACCGCAATCCAGCATCGGTTTCAAACTGCTAAAGCAAATGGGCTACACTCCAGGCTCGGCATTAGGTAAGGAAGGCTCGGGAAGGGCTGAACCTATTTTGGTTGAAATAAGAAGGGGGCGAGCTGGGATCGGCAAAGAGGATCCAAAAATAGAAAAGGCAAGGAGAGAAAAGAGAAATGAGGAGAGAAAGAAGAGAAAAGAAGAGGAGTTGATGGAAGATTTTGGGAGCCGTCAGAAGGAGAGATGGAAAGGAAAGAGGATCGTGGTGAATTTTCATAAGGCTGATGCTGTTCTAGCACAGCTGGAAAACAGGGATGTTCTTGAGGTGGAAAAGAAGGAAGATGGTGAAGAGGAAAAGGAAGATGATGAGGAAGAAGAAGAAATTACAGAAGAGGTATATTTGTTGGAAGGTTTTTTACGTGCATTTTATGGTTCAGTACTGTAAATTTTTTCCCTATATGGGTCTGATGTCTGATAGTGTGGCTGATTTGTTAGTAGGGTTTAGAAGTTGATATGTTGAAAGGCGATGTTTGTCTTGTATGCTTAGATCATGCGCAGGTTCTCTTTTACTTGTGCCGGCGAGAATTTCTGAATTATTAGTAGGAAACACTTGATTAAGAATAGGATGACCAAAACAACAAATAAGACTGTGTACTTATTCGTAATGCCTCTTATAGCACATATTTTACTGCTTAAAAACTCATTATAGTGTACTTACACTTAGTTTTTGAGTCAGATACCACTCTGAGTCTCTTGAAATCCAGTATTGTAATAGCTCTTGGTATACTTCGATTATTGTTCACGACTATTTCTATATCTTTCATCTGCTGCAGGATCTGCTTAATATATTGCTTAAGCTGAGAAATGAGTTCCTGTACTGTCTCTTTTGTGGATGTAAGGTAATTATGACCACACTTGTTAGTTTTTACCGAATCTATTTTGGGATCTCTCTCTGTGTGGAGGACATAAATACAAAAAAAAAATTACATCAAAATGCTTAATTGGAGTTGAATCCTTTTTTTTTTTTTCAACTTTTGCAGTATGACACTGTGGAGGAACTAGAGTCTAACTGTCCAGGTATTAATGAGGATGACCATTAGATTTCACGCCCATGGATAACAACCCGAATCTTCCTTAGTCTCATCAGATTTTGAGCTGGAAAAATCTCTAGAGGATTGTCCTTCAGAGATGTGCTGCTTCACAAGGGAATGGGGTTTTGTTTTGTTTTAATTTTACATTCCAAGTGAAGCTTGGTCTTGTGAGGCTACTATCACATTTTAGTAATAGTAGCCAAATTTTTGGGGAAATACAAAACTACCCTCCCTTTTTGGTCCTCTGTAGTAAGGAAGTAATGTTGACATCTTGTTTATCTACTTGTGAAATTCAATGATTATTTTTGTCTAATTTGAATTTGATTTCGAGCTTTTGTAGTTAGTATGATCTTGTGACACAATATAGCAGAAAGAAATTGATAACAAGACGACAATACGCATTTTATGATGCCACACAAACATCACGATTTTCACCCAAACAGAAGTCCATAGTAGCAATCGATTTAGTGCAGAGAAAGCAAGAAACAGCATTCAAACACAAACAATCGGCAAAAGCCCACAAAAGTCTTCTTAATCCAAATCACAGAAAAACAAAAAGACAGAAATAACAAACTCAGAGGGACCAATGCACGTGCTGGACAGACGAGCCATACCCTCTCGACTGATCCAGTTCATGAAATCCCCCCTCGTTCGGCTGGCCCAACTCAAGTACTCCATTGTACCCACCATTTGGGGCCTGGCCCAAGCCCAAATAAGAAGGCATTCCATTTAAGCCACCATTAGGCCCATTACCCTCGTCGCCCTTAAAACCCCACGAGGGATAGATGAACAGGCCAGCAGCAGCCGGGCTGCTGGGGTTTTCGGACGGCTGATCGAGAAAATTGCCGTTGGGCCCAAGATGGCCTTTTGGGCCAGCCCAGGCCTGATTTGACAGAAGAGAGAGAGCACTGTTGGAGTCTGGAGCTTCACCGAAACATTCGGACATGACAGGACAGGAGTAACTTGGCTTGCTTGTAAGAAAATCGGGCCTTGGAGAGTTTTGTGGGTTGTTTAGCATTGGGAGCTGGAGTTTTGCTGACATGGCGGCAGCTCGGTTTGTTAATCCTTCCTGTGCAGGTGTCGAGTTCAGGAACGAGCTTCTCAAGGGCTGCGTGTAACTGCCGAAGTCCATCATGAAGCCTCTGGTTTTGCTAATGTTGTTATTATTATTATTATCTGCCATGACAAAAATTAAAAACATGTATGACATCAATTTTGAGCAGAAAGTAACCCCTGATATCTTGCCTAATTACAAAATGCTCCACTTTTAGTAAAAGTAAGATAACATGAATTGAAAAGTAAAAGTAACCTATTGTTTATTATAGTAAAAGTAAAAATGAACACCCTAAAAAGGCTGTTTGGGTCGATGAAGTCTAACCAAATACAGATGGGAAAAGGGTAGTCCCATAACGAGGAGACAACAGAGATACTTGCTGTGGCTTTCGCCTACGCTCATTGTGGCCAGCAAGGCGCCTTCGACAGCTCCGTTTTCCTTCATCAAACTCGGGCAACAGATGGAATCTGAAGGAAGGCTAACAAATAAGCTATTAATACAAAAAATTAGGTGAAGGTAAAGTGGACTAATAATAGCTACAAGCTTGAATCTTTATTATTTGTCACTCCAAAGGTGACATTATTATTATTATCTTTGCATCACATAGAAATTACCCGTTTTCACTTGCATCGGGACACAATACTGGAATTTGCAGTCACTGAGATTTACTAATTCGTAAAATATATGCAGCTTCGAGTTACTTGTTATCAGCATTTTGGTATAGTTGAAGACCTCAACACAAAGCAATATTTTTGCAATCCAAGCAAACTTTATATCTATATTGTTCCCATTTCCCAAACCAAATATGTCTATCCAGATTCATAATTTATTGTAGTTGCTTTAGACTTTAGTTTTACAGTCTTTATTTACTTATTTACCCTGCTCGGCTCGAATATTACCCCTACTCAAAAGGAAGAACACTACTACAAATCATTTATACTGTAAGCAATTTAACACAACCAAATTCTCCTCAATCCTTCACAAACCAACATAAAAAATATTACCCAAACTTACCAACAATATAATATCACTGATGTTAAACATGCTTTTTTCACTCATCCATCTTCAACAGAAACTATGCTACTCAGTCAAATTTCAATTTTTTTCATTTAGTCACAGAAAAAACTACAAAATAACAGGATAGAGACAAAAAAAAAGAAAAAAAATGAATCTTTATTTTTTAAAAATAAAGAATAAAAGAAAAAGGAAAAAATCTGACCTGCTGCACTGCTGGCAAAACCTCTGCTCAAGCCCAGCAACAATTACCTTCGCAGACTTAGAATGCATACCGCAGACTTTGTGCCTTGAATAGTAAGCCTTAACATCACTCAGATCTACTTTACAGCCCTCCACCTGGCACCTCGGCGGCTGGCTACCCTGAACAAATCCACCCCTCAACCTCTTCGCCGGAGATGGCGGCGGCGGTTGCACCTCCGCCGCCGCCGTGCCGCCCCTGGATTTGGGCTTCAACCCGGAGCCCATACGGCCCTCAAAATAGATTGTCTTGCCGAATTTCAAGCCGTTGAGGGAGTCAAGCCCACCATTGTTATTAAAAGCTGTGGATGATGAAGAACCCTTATCCATTCTTGATTTTCAGAGTCCATCCATTTGTGCTGCCTGAATCAAAAAGAAAATGACATGGGCATTTGTTTATTTGTGGAGACAGATGAAAAGAGGAGCAAAAGGGGTAGCATAAATTTTAAATAATTTGGGTCATAACTTGATAAAGATTGGATCTTTATGGTATTCTCTTGCTCAAACAGTGCACTAACACTTAGAAACAGCTTGAAATAGAAAAAGGGAAAAATATAAACAAAAAAAGAAGGGCACGTAAACACACACAAAGAGAGTAGTGGTGGTGGTATAAACTATAAAGTAAGCACCTGACAATGGGCCATGATGCCAGCTTGGAGTTTGTGATTTTCTTCTGATGCAGTTTTTCTGAAGAAATTTATCAGTCAAAATAATGGAGCACAAAGCCAATGCGAGAAAGAGAGTTGTCAGCAGCTTTTACAACTTTTTTTAGCCCACTAGACTGAAACTGTAGTTTTATAATGAGAAATAATATGAATAGATGCATTATGCATGCATATTTTTCTTGATTCCTTAATCGCGTTATTGTGTTGTGTTTATTTAATTTATGATTATAAATATGGTGATAAAATTAACTTAATATTTATGTTCGTGTTGATGTTCAAATTGGATCGTACTGTGTTGTGTTTATCGTGTAATATTCTTAGTAATTGCATTTTTATTAATTGTATTTGTGCCTTTGTCACGCGTAATTGAGGTTGAGTCAAATTGAATAACACCTCGAGTGACCAACTTTTTTTCTTTTTCTTTTTTTTCATGATTGATCGGATGCTGAGTGTTGGAACCATTTCCGGTGGAAGCCATCAGTCCAGTAGGTTGAGGTATTCTTCTTGCGATTGTTATAAATCTGGTATAAAAATTACACGGGAATCCTACGAACTGATATGTATTTTTTTTTCAGTTCTTACAAATAATCTAAAAATAGAAAATTACAATTGAATTGAAAAATAATTACAACTGAAAAAATTAGAAAGATCTTAGCCGAGGCGAGTAAACTCTTTCCGCAAGAAGAATACGCCCTGTGTGGCAGCTAACGGTTCCGGCGTAATTTCCCCAAAGATACAACGACAAACGTCTCTAAATCTGTAGCATACCAGATTTACGAGCTCCAGCGAACTGGATTGAAGTCGAGAATTGAGCACTTAAAAATAGAACTAAAATGATCTATATGATAATTTTACCTCACTAATATATATATATATATTTCTATTTTTCTTCTCTCTTTTTCTTCTCCCTTTTTCCTCTTCTTTTCCTTCTCTTCTTTTCGGTATTTTTCCTCTTCTCTTGTCCAGTTGGTACAAACCCTTCAGGTTGTTCCATGTATACTTCATTTTGACATCCATTTGGTAGATCTCAAGATTATGCAAAGCAGCAATCGAGAGAAGCACTCTTATCGACGCTAAACGCGTAACTGGTGAATAGGTATCAAAGAAATCATACCCTTCATTTTGTTTAAAGCCTTTGACCACCAAACGTGCTTTAAACTTATCAATCGATCCATCAACTTTATATTTCTTCTTTAGGATCCACTTGCATCCTAAAGGTTTACAACCATCAGGGAGATCAACCAACTCCCAAGTACGGTTCTGCATAATGGACTCGATTTCGCTATTTATAGCTTCTTCCCAGAGTGGTCCATCTGGGCTGGACAGAGCTTCCTTAAAGGAACTCGGTTCATCGTCCAACATGTACGTAATAAAATCAGGTCCAAACATTTTCGCCGTTTTTACCCTTTTACTACGTCTCGGTTCTTCAGCAGTACCCTCTGGTGCAGAACCACTAGCAGTTTCATATGTTCGTTTATTAGAACTAGATTCTGCTCTTTCCTTCAAAGAAAAAATATTCTTAAAGGATATAGCTTTCCTCGACTCAATCGTGGTACCAACAAATACCTCTGGATTTTCTGATTTATGAACCAGAAATCTATATGTTGTACTATTGTACGCATATCCAATAAATACAAAATCGACCGTCTTTGGCCCGATTCTCATTTGTTTGGGTTCCGGTACTGAAACCTTAGCCAAACACCCCCACACTTTCAGGTACTTATAAGACGGTTTACGATTTTTCCATATTTCGTAAGGAGTCTCATCTTTCCCTTTAGGTGGTATTTTATTCAAGATATAATTTGCTGTTAAAACAGCTTCCCCCCACATGTTCTGTGGTAATCCTGAATTTATCAACATGGCATTCATCATTTCTTTTAACGTACGGTTCTTGCGTTTAGCAACACCGTTTGACTGTGGAGAATAAGGGGCCGTCATTTGATGAATTATGCCATATTCAGAACATATTTGTTCAAAAGGAGCTACATACTCCCCACCCCTATCGCTTCGAATTATTTTAATCCTCTTGCCGAGTTGATTTTCAACTTCGGTCTTATAGATTTTAAATGTTTCCACAACCTCGTCTTTGCTTCTTAACAAATATAAGTAGCAAAACCTTGTGCAATCATCGATAAAAGTAATAAAATACTTTTTACCCGTTCTTGTTTGCACACTTTTCATATCACATACATCAGTATGGATCAAGTCTAATGGTTCAGTACTCATTTCTACCGAGTGAAAAGGCAACTTAGCCATTTTCGCTTCAATACAAATTTCACATTTTGTATTTGTCTCAAACTTAGAATTAGGAATTAAGTCTAAATTCATCAACCATTTAATTGCGTTTAGATTTACATGTCCCAATCTAATATGCTATAAATCAGAGCATTCAACGGTATAAACAGAAATAGGTTTTTCATTATCATTTAAAAAGGTTACACGGCTCACGGCCATTACATTCATTTTGAACATACCCTTGTCGAGATCGCCACGACCAAGGAAAGTTCCAAACTTGCTAAGAACAAATTTCTTAGCATCAAATACTAGCCTAAATCCATGCTCAACAAGAAGAGATCCGGAGACCAAATCTTGCGGATGTCTGGGACATGCAGAACATCCTTAAACTTCAACTCATTTCCAGAAGTCAGCTTCAGTACCACAGTGCCCACTCCAGCCACATCAGCCGTGGCGGAGTTTGCCATGTAAAGTTTCCGACTCTTAGCAGGAGTGTATTCAGAGAACACCTCCTTATTGGAACACACATGACGAGAGGCACCAGTATCGATATACCACTCCCTTGGGTTATCCACCATATTGGCTTCAAACACCATAGCCGACATATCAAAGTCGGTCAGTTCACCCGGCACAGGGTCGTGTTCAGCCACAAGGGCACTCGGTTTACCTTTCTTTGGCCCAGCTTTCTTTGGCCTTTTGCAGTCTTTAGCCATATGGTTCGGCTTTCCGCAATTATAGCAATTTCCGGTAAACTTCCAAACTTTGGCAGGCTGCTTCCCTTTGTCAAGAGACTTCCTCTTGCTCGAGTTCCCTTGCTCTAGCAAGTTAGCACGTGCCTCCATCATCGAAATTTTCCCCGATGAATTACGATTGTCCTCCTCAATACGAAGACGAACAATCAAGTCTTCAAGACTCATTTCCTTCCTCTTATGTTTGAGGTAGTTCTTGAAGTCTTTCCAACCCGTCGGCAGTTTTTCAATAACAGCCGCAACTTGGAATGACTCGCTCAGAGACATTTCCTCAGCATGGATATCGTGCAAGATGAGTTGGAACTCTTGCACTTGAGACACAACGGTCTTAGTGTCAACCATTTTGAAGTCAAGAAATTTGCCGACGACGAATTTCTTCGCCCCGGCATCCTCAGTCTTGTACTTCTTCTCCAAAGCAGCCCAAAGCTCTTTGGCAGAACCAACCGAGCTGTACACATTGTACAACTCGTTATTAAATCCGTTCAGGACATAGTTACGGCAAAGGTAATCACCTTGCCCCCAAGCTTCGTACGCAGTGCGTAGTTCAGTATTGGTCTCATTTTCAGCAATAACCGGGGGGTCGTCCTTTAGGTACTTCACCAAACCCAAAGTGGTCTGGTAAAAATGCATCTATTGTTGCCACCTTTTAAAATCAAGCCTATTGAATTTTTCGGGCTTCTCAGCAGTAGGGACATGGACAGCAGGTACATGATTGATCGGATGCTGAGTGTTGGAACCATTTCCGGTGGAAGCCATCAGTCCAGTAGGTTGAGGTATTCTTCTTGCGATTGTTATAAATCTGGTATAAAAATTACACGGGAATCCTACGAACTGATATGTATTTTTTTTTCAGTTCTTACAAATAATCTAAAAATAGAAAATTACAATTGAATTGAAAAATAATTACAACTGAAAAAATTAGAAAGATCTTAGCCGAGGCGAGTAAACTCTTTCCGCAAGAAGAATACGCCCTGTGTGGCAGCTAACGGTTCCGGCGTAATTTCCCCAAAGATACAACGACAAACGTCTCTAAATCTGTAGCATACCAGATTTACGAGCTCCAGCGAACTGGATTGAAGTCGAGAATTGAGCACTTAAAAATAGAACTAAAATGATCTATATGATAATTTTACCTCACTAATATATATATATATATTTCTATTTTTCTTCTCTCTTTTTCTTCTCCCTTTTTCCTCTTCTTTTCCTTCTCTTCTTTTCGGTATTTTTCCTCTTCTCTTGTGTGTTTTTCATCAAATGAGTTGCTGAGTATTTATAGATGAAAATTGGTTGCAAGATGTTGATGATTTGGTTTGGGGTTTGGGATTTTTGGTATTTGTAGTTGAAGAATTTGTCAGTTTGTTCACCAAATATAATTTCTTCACGCATGCATTGCCTAAAATATCAATTGGCAGCTGGAAAATGGGACCAATATTTAAAATTCACTCAAAATTCTAACAAATAAATCATAATTTACAAATATATCAATTAAAAGTGTGGTATGCTGCAAATTGAGCTCAATAACAAATGATACCATTTGTGATCACATAACCGGAACTACATCATGGAGGATGTGGATGAACCACATTATTTTCTACATTGTAAACATTAATTATGTCCACATTATCACAACATTTGTGATCACATTATACATTGGAGTATAGAAAATTATGATATTACTAATATGTTGATGTGGCATGTAATTTACCATAACAACATTTTGAGTATTGAAGATGCTCTTAGGCTCAACGCGTTCAGAAATTATATATAGGGAAAATTGTTTTGATTGGATAATATTATATATTATGAGCAA